TGTGCATGAGACCCCCTGTGAGTGGCTGGGACAAGAGGCCCTGGCTGGGAAGCGTCAGGCCAACAACCAGCCTCTCTGGGCCTTGGGTCTTGGGAGAGAGGCAGGCAGGCTTCTAGCAGGCTCACTCCATTTCTAACCCTGCCCAGAACTTGCCTTTCTGTCCACAGAGGCCCAGTCAGAGCCTGCATGTTAAGAAGATCCCCAGGTGGTTCCGGGATTCTAGGAATGACTGGGGGGTCTTGTTCAAAGATGTAGATTCTGATTCCCTCTCTCTGGGGCAGAAAGGCAGATTCTCCACAGGAAGTTCAACCTGTGTGAATTGTGGGTCAAAGCCCTGGCTGATGGGAGACTCACCTGGGTCAGGTGGGTCTGGGGTCCAGCGGAGAGGCCACCTTGCAGTGTATGGTGCTCCCAGCAGAGACTGGTGGTCCAGGGGCCGGCAGAGAAGGAGCTACCAGGTGCAGTGGACATTACTATCACGCCAGATGCCCGGGGTTGAATTTCTCCACTAGTTCCAAACCCTTCCATCTTTTCAAGTCACTAACCACTCTGTCCCCTGAATAATTATCCTCATCCATATCTCTGTTTCCCCAAGTCCCCCCTGGTTTTCTACAGCGGGGAGTCACATGAATGTTTCATCAGGTTATAGGGTTTTTTTGTTGCATTTTTTATGACCTTGGATGGCGGCTCTTCCTCATCAGGAAAAAGCAGGGAGGGAAAGGGGTAGAAAGGACTCCATAAATGATTTGAAAACGTGCTGAGGACGGCCTTTTGATCATTACCAGAGGCAGGGTAAATCATGCATGAGGCGGCCGGTTCGCTGCGCGCTTGCTGGGGGAGCCGCGGTGGCGTTGAGGTGTCTTCTCTCTGTGTTGCAGCCTCTGGACCACGAGACACTGCCCCGCAGACGCCTGGTCATCTCCGTGGAGAACGAGGAACGGCTCTTCTCCTGTGAAGCAGGCCAGGGCCAGAGTCTCTGTGGATGTGACCGTGGTGGACCGCAACAACCCTCCCCCCCCCTTTTACCCAGAGACCCTCATCGTGACCAGAGAGGATGGCGCCGGGCCCGGGCTTCACCTGGGGCTAGTCAAAGCCATAGATCCCGATGGAATGTCCAGTCACGTGAGGTGAGACACAGGAGATGGCGCTGCTGATGGATGGGTGGGAGGCGGCCGTGAGCGATGGCCAAGGCCGGCATCTCATCTTCTTGGGGGAGACTGGCTTCTGCTCCTGGCTAGTGCCCCGCGCGCGCGTGCACCCCCGTCCTCGCACGATAGCAGGCTCGAGTGCTGCGTGATGCCCAGCAGGTTTCTCCAGAGCTCGCGGACTTGCATGGACTAGGGAGAAGTGACCTATAGCCACTGCAAACCCTGGGGACCACATGGTCTAGGTCCTTCTGCATCCTGTTGTTGTGAGGTGCCGCCAGTTGATTCGGACCCACAGCGACCTGTGCACCGTAGAGTGAAACACTGCCCGGTCCCTCGTCATCCTTGTCATTGTTAAGTTTGAGCCCACGGTTGCAGCTACTGTGTCCATCCATCTCGTCAAAGGTCTCCTCCTCTTTTTCACCGCCCCTCCCTTTCCCAAGCATGATGTTCTGCTCCATGAGGTCTGGTCTCTTCTGACAACTTCTCCAGGGTACTGCGGTGAAGTTGCCGCATCCTTGTCTCCGAGGAGCACTCTGGCCGTCTCCTCCCAGACAGACGGTGCGTCTTTTGGCGTCCGTGGTACTTCCAATATCCCTTACCAGCACCGTGACTCCAACACATCCATTCTCTTCTGGGCTTCCTTATTCAGGGTCCAGCTTTCACATGGAACGAGGCGACTGACAAGACCCTGGTCTGGGCCAGGGGCACCTTCATCCTCCAAGTACACTCTTGCTTGTCAACACACAAGGTCCC